CTGCTTTTCAATATAGGAATCCTGCTGCTTGACTGCCATCTGCTGTCCGAGAAGTGCAACACCACATCCAAACAGTCCTACAAAAGTTTGACACAGGGCGCATTCAATCAGTCGGCGTCTCCCCCACCAGGGCACCTCGGAGTCGACACCCAGGCTTGTTCTGCTGCTTATCAGCGACCCTCTCCTAACAAATATCACTGCTTGGGTCCAAGTCAAACAACACAATTGTACGGGCGCTGGACGAGGAGGAGGGGAGGTGGGAAGCAATTGTATAAAGTCAAAGGGCTGCACATGTGGGACCACACTGACAGAGACACTCCAAACTCACGCCTCTGCGCTCATGCGCGTCTCTGAGGACGATCACTGAACAGCATTTTGCGAAGGAGGGAAACACTTGGATGATTATTGTTTCCACTTCTGGAGGATTATTATTAACTTGCGCAATGTTTTGTCTTATAAGAGTTTGGAAAATGGATATACTCGTTGTGATTTCCGTGTTATCAGTGATGTTCTCCTGGATTTTGTGCACAGGTAACTTGCGTTATTTTCCAACAGCAATTAAACAAATATTTAAGCATAAATAAGACTCGGGGTTAATTTTAAGCAGCCGAAACCGACCTCTCTGCTTGACCCTTGATTAAAGCAGCATGTTCCAGACATATAAACTTAGCTTAATGGATTATGATTTAATTACAGCCTTGTCTGCGGGTGAGGCACCCACTGCCTCCACAGTCACCCAGGGGCGCCATGTGCGGACGAAACGCTGCTCCTGCGCCACTTTTCTGGATAAGGAGTGCGTCTACTTCTGCCACCTAGACATCATATGGGTCAACACACCTGAGTGAGTAGTCTGTTTAGTTAAGATACTGCAATATTCATTTTCTCCAGCACAGTTTTAAAACTATTAATTAGCAACTACTTCCAAACAAGCAGGCTGAAATACAAAAATAATTTCAATGTAAGCAAGGAGCTGAGATAAGGTTAAGCTAATGATTTTGAGTCATGGAAGTTAAAATTAATTTTGGGGGGATGTAGCTAACTCAAAATAAAACAGCTTAATCATCTGTTTAGTGTTATATATTAGCTTAAAACAAGCCAATTTAAGCATATTTGACCTTTTTTTAACGAAAACTGTTCCGGGATTGACCGTTAATTTCATTGTCCTGTCCACAGGCGCGTGGTCTCCTACGGACTGGGCGACGCGCCCAGGACGAGGCGCGCGGTCGCGGACTCCATGGCAACCAGGAGCGGCCCTCGCTGTCAGTGTGCCCGTGACAACGACAACACCTGTAGAACCTTCTGCCGCCCCAGGTATGTAATTTGGCTTCAAAACATCTTTTACACTGGCAATAGCAAACATTTATCAGATTTGCTGTCAGTGACACCATAAACCGCCCGAGTCTATCATTTTTGTTCTCGTTCCCATCGCATGTCAGAACAAGTTTAAATGGATCTAAATGTGTCGAAACTGTGGGATCAGTAAATGAAAGGTGAGAACGTCCGCTTTCACTTCCAGGTATGAGCCATGGCCGCATTCCGCCGAAGGCGACGGTTGCACTGAGCCGCAGTGCAAACACAAGCTGGCAGCTCACAGGGGCAGGATTAATAGGTAAGAATAAAAGAGGCTGAATACCTCAAAGTCTGTTTGCAAAATAAAGGGACGTGGTAATTATAACTTGACGCAACACAGGTCTTCTGTAAGGCAAAGTATCTCAGGGCACATTGTTTTTACATGAGATAAAAACAATCAGCAGGCGTTTTAGATACAGAAATGCTGAGATTAAGCCTCAAGCCAAGTAACTGAACATCATTATAAATTCTATAAAACCTCTAAGATGTAATGAAATTTACCAAAACTATGCTGCATCACGTTCCCTGAGAGCGATATGAGAACCAGTTCCTCTCTGTCAAAGCTCCACTCATGTACCATCATGTTTCAAAGTCAGACCTAGGTTTGTGGCACCACATGTCTGCACTTTGATACAATAATTGGAAACAAACATCATTATACTCATACCTCTCAAAAGTGTGTTCTGCACGACCCTTAGTCGTGGGAGATCGCTGGCTCAGATGTCTGACTGCTTTCTGTCTTTGTCTACAGGATGAAAGGCAGCAACAAGAAACGAGTGTCACCTCTAGTGCTCAGGGCTGCGTCCAAAACCGGCCTGGTGCTCAAGAACTGGAGGGTGAGACAGCACCACAGAGCGAGAGAATGGGAGGGCGAGAGCACGGCCTCCTAAAAACAAGATAATCTCTGCACCTTGTCACACACAGGGGGAAAAGGTTTCCTTCTCTAAAGCCATCTACTGGGGGGAGCCCTGTGCAGCAGCCTCTCAGAAAGGCACCGGAGAGCCATCTTAAGGCCTGCAGACTAACTCCACGTTGGCTTCACGGCTGCAGTGCCTGCAGCAGAGCGGAGGTGCACCTCAAACAGATTAACCGGGTCAGAGACAGTAACGGGAGTTCAGGTGACAGGAGATAAGCTGAACAAAGAACTTGGCCCTGGTCTGCAAAATCATGGACACTCACTGATCTTTTCCAACATCACAGTCAGAATCAGTCGTTGGACTCTAAAAACACCAAGCATGCATTTCATAAACGTGACTGGAGGAATTAATAGGAATCCTCCTGAAACCAAAAACCATTGCTCTATACGGAAGAGTTAGTTCCACTTCTTATATCTCAAAGCTTCATTATTTTTCTCACACACAAGTTGCAAACAGATTGTTATGCTTATACAGAAGGGACGGGTGCCGTGTGTCACTGCTTTACACAAGACTGAAACTGTTCACTGCATTTATGTTACAGGTCGTCTCCTGTATGTTAGGACACAAGTAGTTATGTTCAGAAGCTGCTGGAAGTTTTTCTTACTGATGTTATAAGACAGAGTTTTTTTGCATTTATCATAATTTATGATTTCGCTAAATATGTTATGAGGTTGTGTTATATTTTGATTATTTATTGTTTTTACATATTGTCATTTGATGGCCGCATTGGTCCGTCATGTATGGTTTGTCATTTCGATGAAATGCTTCATCACCAAAGTGCCAAATTGTGGTCAAACTTTAATAAATTTTTTATGCTCCTATTTAAAACAAATCAACTCCTTCATTCTTGTTTTGTGTGCTGTGATATTTAACAAGTGCAATGGATCAGATCTCTAAAGCAGAAACTGAACGGTGGAAAATAGTGTTTCACCAGCTTAAATGGGAGAAGTTTCACTTGAGAAAACAGGAATAAACAGGCCATCAAAACACTAAATCTTCAGTGAATCTGGGTTTTATAAAGCAGAAAAAGCCTCCCACATTTAGTGTTAAAGAATTTGAAGTTAGTAAATATGATACAAAAAGCAAAAGTGAAAGAACAAGTATGAGACAGATTGAGATGTGGCAAAGCGCATTAAAACCCTGCCCCTTCATCGCTGTGCCAAACCGGTGTATATGCTGCCACTTCTGAATCAGTCAAAGTGGATTTACTGTGAGGCATCTTTCAGCAGCCTGGATTTCACAGGCTGCTCTGTTTGCAGCCCTTTGCTTTAAAATGCTTTATCTATCACCTTACAACCTGAGCTGCTGCAAGTTTTGCTGCGACTCAGCTGAATTCAACAAAATCCTGAGCCACTCATACATTTTTCTCTTAGCTACGTGCCCTGGCCTCTCCACGCACCGCTGACAATTACTGCAGGCAAAGGCCATTACTTTACAGTGCCTGTCCCTTAATCACCAGTTACCACCCTGCTTTAAAGGCTCTTACACCTGTTTATCTCCCTAAATGAGCCCAGACCTCCCTGACACTTGTGCAGACAGCCAAGATCTATTCATTTCAATCACACATGAATATCACTGCTGTCATTTATAAAAAGCTACAACACATTTTTGAGATAATTTAAGTTTTAAACAGCCTTTAGTCCAAGATGGCGTATTTTCTAATGATGCATGTCATACAAGTTGTTATTGGTTTCAGTTCAAACCCGTCACTCATCAGTGAGCTGTCTGAACTAGCAGCAGAGAACAATCCAATACAAATTGGCTGAAAGTCTCAACTATCCAGTTCATTTAACAAACAAATCTGCAGCGGGTTTTGTGCCTCGGGCTTATTGTAGGAAACACTGCAGATTCTGACATCATATTTTCCAGACAGTCCTGCTTTTTGTTTGCAAATAGTTTTAAGATATGTCTGTCGCAGGCAGGTCAGGAATGCAGGTGGAGAGTGAAGACAACAGAGCGAAGGTTTAGACGAACAGAATACAGGTACAGTGTACATGGGTCTGTGGAGCCAAACAAACCTCCTGCTCATGGAAGAAGATCTGCTGATACGTGGTTCTCGTAAGATTTGAACGGAGAATGTCGGAGAAGTCCGCAAGAAACCAATATAATGCTTAAAACAAATATTTGTTCATAACATGTTACATAAGTGAAACTGAACAATAACCATGCTTTCCTATTTAAAAGCTTCATTACAGCATTAACATGCTTGAACTACATCAGACTTTTCAATCGTAAAAATAAGGCAAGAAAAGGTGCTTGCAAAAAGCCAGGCTGACGGTTACAGGCTGAAGTCTGGCTGTCAGCGAAATGTACATAAGTATAAAAAGTATCAATATGGTCTCTGCCATTGTTATTTGTTACTGATGCATAAACCTAGCGGTAGCATTTTCACTTTGTCTTATTGCCTTTTACATGTAGCACTTTAAACTACACTGTTGTTGCATGCAAGTAATTTGCCTGTGTGGTTAAATGACATGGAGCTGGTTAAAGCTATTTTACACACTGTTAGAATTAACTGATAACTTATACGTGTTGTATGTAAAATTTGAATCTGCCTGTCAAATATATGTGGTTGATAAAAAAGTACAAACTATGAGCCAAAATTTAGTGGATCATAGAATAATATTTTAAAAACCATTAAGTACTAGTACCAGAAAGTACAGTACAATGACTGAGTACTGCTTGAAAGATATTTTCCAAAAACAGTATCATTACAAGTCTTTTACCATACTGACTCCACACAATCATCACATGCACCCTGCATCATGAGGCACTTCTGCAGAAGCCCTGCTATAAGGAGATGCTTCAGTACACACTATGTGCACACTACATGCACACTGAAGACGTTAACAGTGTGCCGACAGGCCTGGGACCTAACACAATGGCATTTAACCTCTGAGCTATGCTGCTCTATGCAAGGAACTCCCCTGAGACATTGGTTTTTGGCATAAGCCATTAGTCTATTGAATAGAGCGAGCACTAAAATAATAGCCCATTACACAGCAAGGAATCTCCACAACTTCACAGGAATTCTCAAGCTCAGGCGCTAAACAATAGGACTCTATACAAGGGACATCGGGGCGGGGCAGACTGGCCTCGACTTCTGACGTCTGGCCCACGCCCAACTCTACCTCCACACGCCCTGTTTTCCGACCAGCACTCCCAGCTGTGCCAAAGCATCTCACGAAACCCTGATGCAGCCCAGGGAGAGGGGATTAATTGCCCTAGATGGATGAGTCAAATTCAGGATTTGAAAAGTCCCCAGGAGTCAGCTGGATGAATGAGCACTAACAGAAACCTGTCAGGGAGGTTTACTGGGAACCTGGGGGAAGATGTTGCCCTTTTTGTGTCTGCTTTGCAAGAGAGAGTCAGACTGGCAACTGGCAGCCTTGAGTTGTAGTTAAATTTGATTTGTCATCTCATCTGGATGAGGGGGGGCTGACATACCTCTCAGAGAGCTGATTAAATGAATCTGTTCACGTGTCTGTCAGCACTCTGTCTGTCTGTAATCCCACTCCCAGTCCTACCCAACCCAGCTCCCTCCCTCCCTCCCTCCCTCCCTGACAGGAGCACAACAAACACAGAAAAGCATTACAGGAGTATCTCTGAGATTTTTAAAATACTTCGCTGACAGACATGAATGTGAGAATGAGTTGTGTCTGCAGTTATGTCTCTGCTCCTCCTTGGCTTGATTTAACTTAACAGTAGTGGGGGGGCGGGGGACTAGTCTCCCTTTACTGCACATGTGGAGAGTAATGCTGAGAATGCAAAGAATTATACAGATACAGCACATTTCATGTCCAAAATTAACTTAATGCATACACATGATGAATATATGGAAAGATATGCTTTTCTTTGACACTTGAAGTAATTATCTGCATTTTTGTTTCAGAGCATTCTAGCTGTAGTAATTCACCCTGTCAACAATCATCAATATCTGATGAGAAAACGCCTGAGGGTGCGCTATCTAGAAGTACAGTTCTACGTCAGTGAAAGCTGTAGAATAGCAGAAATAACATCAAACAGTCACATGATTACTTTTAGTCATGATGCCTGCGGGGCTCCTGAAATGGTCTGTCATTTATTTCGTCTCAACTGCAATATCTCAACAAACGCTGGATGGGCTCGTGCTTACAATTTTAGAGACATTCATGCGCTCCAGAAGACAAATCCTAATGACTTTGGTGACTCTAGCACAATCAACAAGTCAAAGTTTTTTACTTATTCAGTGAAATATGCCGACATCTACTCAATGCGTTGGCACAAATGTGGTGCACACCTTCGTGGTTCTCATCTGATATAAGTTTGGCAAACCACCGACTTTTCAGGCTTTCGCCAGCAGATTGATGTGCTTGGTTGCTGTTGAAATATCTCATCATCCTTTGGATTGAGGTCTTCTCAGCATTTGTGTCTGGTTAATCACGGAATATTTGCAAAATTTATGACATTCCCCTGAAGTCACGGCTGTATTTTGCATTTAGTTGGCAAATATTAGCATGCTATTATGCAAAACTAAGATGGTGAACTTGGTAAAAATGATAGCTGCTAAACAATTATGACCCTGTTGTCACTGTACCGCAGCATGCTGATGTTAGCATGTAGCTCAAAGCACCACTGCGTACAGTCTTACAGAACTGATTATTATTATTGATGCAGACTCTTAATTGTGTTTTCCCGATACTTGATTTTATATCGAATTGAACTGGTTCAGGGTCATGTTATTCCAACAACAATGAGCCACTGACAGGACTGTCCCTTGAGGATGGTGACCCATATTTGTCTCGCTACAGTGAGACAAGTAGTAAGTGCTGAGATATTTGACCTAGAATAAACATTTCACTATGGGAGAAAACACTCCACTGAGCCAACACTGCAAAAAGATGTTAATCTGATTTGAATGTCCACAGAGAATTTAAAAGAAAAACACGCTTTCTTACAGTTGCATTCATGGTAACATGTATTAAGAGCATCTCTGTTGCTGTTAGTTTTCATTTCCTTTGCCACTGCGTTTGCTGACAATTCTAGGCAGATGAAGATGGCGCTTTTATTCGGTCACTTTCTTTTCATTTTCTTTCCTGGTCTCTCTCAAAACATGATGGAAAGGCCTTGTGGAGGATGCATAAGGTAAATACTGATAGACTTATGGTGGGTATGAAGCAATGAAGCCTTTTTCCTTTGTGTAGCAGACATCAACACTATTATCTCAGCGTTTTCTTGTTAATGTATTTAAAATGTCAAAGCCATACCTCCCTCTTTATAATACGTAGGTCTGAAACAACACCAATTGTTTTTTAATGTCAGGCAAATCATTTTTATTTGGAGCCACATGTCTTGGACTTCATCATCTCAGTGACTCAGAAACCAAATTAATTGTCCAGTAGGTTCATAAAACCCAAGTGTGTGGCTATTTTTCCATCTGTGATACCAATCACACTTCTCTGCATTTAAGGAATAATTCTGAATCTTGGGAGTTGCACTTCATTCAATTTCTTGTTGACAGAAGAAGATTAATACTGCTACAACATTTGTATGTTGAGTACAAAGCTGGAACTGGGAGCCAGTTAGCTACATGCCCCTGACCAAGAAAAAAGCCAGCACACAACCCTACTCCAAACCTGCAAATAGTTATTTTTACGTATCTGTTTTTGTACAAAATATATAATGTCTTCTTTAGTGAGCTTTGAGGTGCTAACTAGCAGTTAGCTTTAGGACAAGCTAACTGTCTCCTGGCTTCATAATTAAGGTTGAGCCAGGGGAGTGGTATCAATCTTCTCGTCTAACTTGTAGTGAGAAAGTGAATGGAACTACTGCTTC